TTGCGGGTGAAGAACTCGGTGATGTCAAGCTGACGGCTAGCGTTGATGTGGTCGTGATACATCTGGATGTATGGCTCCATAGTTTGCAACAGATGGTTATTGGAGACTTCATATCGGTGATTGACTGGGTCTTTGGACAAGATGAGCTTGAGTCTCTCAACATATTCGATGACTTCCTTTACATCACCATGAGTTAACTTCTGTTCTCGTTCTTCCGCACCACCTGCCTCCTCACTGACGTCATCATCTTCCAATATCTCGTCGGCAGTCACCTCAGGTTCCCTGATTACCTCCAGGATTTTGTCGTTGGTGGTCTCGGAGAAGCCTGCAGCTGTAACACTCTGAGCAGCCTCTCTTGCAAGGGCCACTGCAACAGACTGAGCCTCACCAGTCACAGGTTGCCTCTGCCTCCCACCTGGAATACCTTGCAACACATGCCGCCACGCGTGACGAATCGTTGCCACAGACAGCGGCCCCCTTGCCTCCACCAAGAAATCAACATCTTCCAAAACTGTTTTACTCGCACTTCATTCTCCACCAACTCTTGTTCTGGATCCTCGCTCTCGCTCTCTGTGCCACTCAGAAGGTTCCGCAACTCATCCTTGGTGTTGGTGAAGTCCTTCAGGAGCTTAAACTTCTTTGCGGAGAAAGCAGCCTTCACGTTGCATATCAACTCCTGGTCCATGGGCTGGATTAACGACGTACTGTTGGGAGGAAGGAAGACTACTTTTACACTGGGGTGACGATCTAACAGTAGGGGCGAGTGTCCTGGTGCGTTGTCAAGGAGCAACAAAATGTTAAATGGAACATTATGTTGCTCGCAGAATTTCTTAACGTTGGGAACGAAACAGTCGTCAAACCAGGAGAGGGACAGACCAGTGAACATCCACGCCTTACGTGCAGTTAGCCAGTGGACATTTAGCTTGGTCATGTCCATGTTTTTGTAGGCATGCGGACTGTGTGGATCACCGACAACTTGAGCTTACAGGTGCCGGAGGCATTGGTGGTGAACAGGATGGTGATGCGCTCCTGCAACTTCCGGCCCCGACACTTGCTGGCAGACTTGACAACAAAGGTCTTGGAAGATAATTTTTTCCAAAACAGCCCGGATTCATCCATGTTGAACACCTGGTCGTCGGTGTACTGTCCTTCCTCCATAATTTCTCGTAAGAATGGAGGAAAAACTATGGCAGCAACACGATCAGCACTAGCTCCTTCACCAACAATGTTAATGTTCGTGATCTTGTTGCGTTTTTTAAACCCTTGCTGCCACCCAGCGGAAGCAGTGAAGGGTTTGGGTTCTGCAATTCCCATCTTTCGAGCCACTGATTGGTAGAGTTCACGGGCGTAGTCCTGCACTGCCCGCGTGTCGACCACCATGTTCCTTCTTGCCTGACGAATCAAGTAGCTAACCAATAAATTCTCAGCCTTGAGCAGCACCTTATTCTGACAACACTTCACCATTGAAGCACCTGCAGACTTTGTGATGCTCATGTGTTCTTTTATCTTGGCGGCATCCTTCTTGATTGTACGAATCGTAGAATCGTTAACTCCATGCTGGCGCGCGAGATCAACTTGTCGGGTTCCCTTTTCTAATTCTTACCCCCCCGTAACGATTTTGTATTTTACTTCGTAACCGAGGGCGCGTTGTATCTTCTTGGGCTTGGGGCGGCTTGGTCCAGGTAATTCAAGGTTTTTCTGGGGTGGTAGGGGTCCAGCGGAAGCCATTGTTGAACAGATTAGCGGGCACAAGAGAGAACAGTATACGCGGAGACTGAGAACAATGACACAACTGGGCACGTCATATTACATTAGATCAATCACAGCTAGCGAGAGAGGGAGGTAAGGATGCGTGGCCCAATCACAGTCTGATAGTCATATGACGTCAGCAACAACGCAACAGCGACATACTGCGCACTCTCCCCGCGCCGCTTCCCGCATATATTCAAGAATACCGCGTAACTATTAATTGGCGCGTCTGGACCTCTCTCGCCGCGTAAATGATGGAATGAACCAGTTTTCACAGAAGAAATTCGTGAGGAAATTCGAGAAGTGGAACTGATATTTAGGGGAAAGGAAGAAGAGAAATTAAAGAATATCACTATCAGAAAAGGATGTTCTTAAGAGGATAAATAAATTAACGACGACAAAATCCTCAGGGCCGGATGAAATTTTCCCTTGAGTCTTGAAAGAGTGTAGGGAACAGATTAGCGGACCCCTCGTAAATTTATTTACAAAATCATTAGACACGGGAGTTGTGTCAGACTTGTGGAAACAGGCAAATGTAGTACCCATATTCAAAAAGGGAGACAGAGAATCAGCGTCAAATTACCGGCCGATCAGTTTGACGTCAGTAGTGGGGAAATTACTTGAATCAATTTTAGCAAATAGCATCCGATTGCATTTAGAGAAAAGCAAATTAATCTACGACTCTCAACATGGGTTTACAAAGGGAAAATCTTGTCTAACAAATCTGCTGACGTTTTTTTGGAAAGTCTTCGAGGTAGTAGATAATGACGAAAATTACGATGTTATTTACTTAGACTTTAGCAAAGCATTTGACAGAGTACCGCATCAGAGGCTTCTGAGAAAAATTAAGGCTCATGGTATCGAGGGGAAAGTTTTAAAAAGGATAAAATCATGGCTCACCGATAGAACGCAGAGGGTCAGCGTAGATGGTGTTAAATCTGAGTGGGGCTGTGTAACCAGTGGGGTTCCCCAAGGGTCAGTACTAGGCCCACTCTTGTTCATAATCTACATAAACGATTTAAATACTGGGATCAGCAGTGACATAAGCAAGTTTGTGGATGACACCAAAATAGGGCGGCAGATTAATTCAGGGCAGTATGCAAATGCACTACAGGAGGATTTAATTAAACTGCAGGAATGGTCAGAAAAACAGCAAATGAAATTCAACACCAGCAAGTGCAGCTTACTTAACATTGGAAGAACAAATACTGTCAATGCATACAGCCTTAACAACATCAACCTAGAGAAGTCGACTTGTGAAAGAGGCTTAGGGGTACTTGTAAGCCCTGACCTATGGCCTAGAAAACAGTGCGTTAATGTTTGAAATAAGGCAAACAGAGTATTGGGTTTTATATCTAGAAGTGTTAGTAATAGAGGGCAGAGGTCTTATTGCAACTACATCTTGCGCTAGTCAGGCCGCACCTCGATTATGCGGTTCAGTTCTGGTGCCCTTATTATAGAATGGATATCAATTCACTGGAGTCGGTGCAGCGAAGAATGACGAAAATGATTCCGGGACTTAGAAACCTTCCATATCAAGATAGGTTAAATGAACTAAACTTGCATTTCCTAGAAAGATGAAGAGTGCAGGGAGATATGATAGAAGTATTTAAGTGGGTGAAAGGAATCAATAAAGGGGATATAGATAAAGTTCTTATAATATCCGAGCAGTATAGGACTCGTAGCAATGGATTTAAGTTGGATAGGTTTAGGGGGGAGATAGGAAGGAACTTGTTCACAAATAGGGTGGTGGACGAGTGGAACAAGCTTAGCAACTTTGTAGTAAGTGCTGGAATGCTGGAAAGTTTTAAAGGGAGGCTAGATAGATTCATGGATGATAGAGAAATGATTATTATTATTATTATTATTATTGCAGTACTGTATTATTATTATTATTATTATTATTAGATTTTTGCCACCCAGGACTCAATGTGGGTCAGTGAACTGTGCCTGGGTGGGTTAATCCCCGTTAAAAAAAAAATTGCTCCCAAAAGATTCTTCTTTGACCAGGCTACAGCCTCTTTTTTTTCCTATGATCTAGATTTAATTAAATTATGCAGGCATTCCTAGAAAAAGTAAGTAGCAGTATAAGGGTTAATGTAAGTTTTCACTTTTTTTTCTTCTGTGACACTAGATATCCATTCCATACATGGAGTACTATATCAACAAAGAATCCATCCATGAACTCCAATTACAGTACTGTACATAACATAAGAAGGTTGTGCAGAGTGGCAATGCCTTCATCAAAATGGCATAGTATTTAGTATGTCTCTTATCAAGTAACCAGTTTATAGTCATAACTAACTCCATTATTCCATGTTATTTCTAATGATTTAATGATACATGACCTTCCAGAATGACAAGCAACAACAGCAACAGGGTGAGGAGGAAGGAAAAGAACAACAGGATGTTTCCCCAGACATGTTGATCAAACACCCTTTACAGAACACTTGGACTCTCTGGTTTTTTAAGATTGAGAACAACCGAACTTGGGAGGACTGCCAGATGGAAATTGCAAGCTTCAACACAGTAGAGGATTTCTGGGCGTGAGTTAATTTTTATTGGGGTTAAATTATTTAAATTAAATGAAATGGTCTGTTTTAGCATGATACTTGTAGCTATGTACATTTAGTTTTGATGCAGCATATCTTCATAAACATTGGATTTTTTGGCCCCTCTATGGATAACATGTTTTTTACCCAAAGAAATTTATTAATATGTACTTGCTTTCAACAAAATATTTACATAAGTTGGGTTAGAGAAGAATAATTGAAGTATTATACAAACAGAAATCTCTAGTAGTTAGTTCATATGACAGTTGATGACAGGATCAGACCATGTGAGGGATGCAAAAGGAATGAGTCAGGCCCCTTCCTGTTTATATATGTAAAGTAGGTAAGAATAAATGCTATAGGGGAGGGAAGAGTAGTACAGTACAGTAATAGCAATAGAATAGAAGATGTGAAAAGAAGAATATCAACAGATAGACAGTAGGTGCACAAGTTAGTATTGTATGTTGGGGAATGGAAAGGAACAATTATTAGGGGCAAAATGCAGCTGTAAGAAAATTGAAATTAGTGAAAGTTCCAAGAGTAAATGGTACGGTATTGGTTTAAGTTTTGACAGTATGGAAAGCAGAAAATTTTGTACCCTGTACTGTATTGTGTGAATATTTTACTAAATAGTGTGAGATGACATGAAAAAAAAATATCAAATGACTGGTTGGCATCTATAACTAATGATGCCTTTATATGTATATAGGGGAAGGTGGTCAGGAAGAATGCCAAATTTATTTAGGAATCAGTCTGAAGAAGTAGATGGTCGAGTAGTAATTGAATGGGAGAGAAAATAGAGTGCAGAATAGATAAAGAAAAGGAGTGATATAGAGAATTTTTTGGATGAAGATACTTGTACCAAACATATACTGTACAGTTAAAATGTTTGGGGCAAATTACATTGACGAGTTGGGAAAACCACCTGTACTGTTTATGGATGTGGTGAAAATATATACAGTACAGTACTGTACAGTAATAGGGTGAATGGAGATGCACTATGAAAAGTGAGGATGATTTATGGAGTGAAAGGAAAGCTACAATAAGTCCTCGCTTAACGTTGGGGTTACGTTTCTGAAAACGCGACGTAATACGAAACAACGTTAAGTGGATCAATCCCAAAATATGGGAGTTACATTCCCCAGCCTCCCTTTGCCCCATAAAATACATTGTATATACCTGTACAGAAAATCATTGCCATTTCTTTAGAAACTAGTGCATGCATATACAACTATTAAGTTTGTTTTGGTACTCGCCGATGGGCGGAGGTGGTAGAGCGAGTGTGTAGTGGAGCGAATGAGGCGGATGGCGGGAGGGTAGGAGTATGGTGGGAGTGGGGGAGGGGGGTGGGAGCGGAGGAGGGTGGTGAGTCACTGAGACTGCGGCTGCCTCCTCCTCCTGCTCTGACTGTGGTTCCTCTGCTGCTGTTTTCTCCTCCTCCATTGATGTTTGCTCCTCCTCCGTTGTTGTTTGCACATCCTCGGCTGCTGTGTGCTCCTCCTTGGCTGGCTGCTGTTGTGAAGAAGCTGCTTCTGCCATCCCCTGATGAAAAATTGAATACTGTGTTCACTGTTTGGTGCTACTCTTCTTCTCCTTATGCATCTCAGTGTAACAACCAAGACTGTCATCAATGCTGCTTTGAAGCTTTGAGCTACGTTCTCTGTTTGGGTTGTCATTTATGAGGATTTGCATTGCTTGCTGGAACATGTTGAACACTTCTGCCGTCCTCGTGGAAGTTAGTGTTCATTGAGGTTCTTCGTCGTCGCCGTCTTCAAAGAGACTGTGTTCTGTTAACAGTTGCAAATCTTCGTTGGTGAGCTCTTCTGTATGGGATGCCAGGACGTCCTCAATATCCTCTGATTCCAGCTCATCAAAGCCTGCCTGTCTAGCCAAGCTGAGGATATCCCTATTCACAGCTGGGACTGAGTCCGTGAATCCTGTAAAACTGTTGACGCACTCAGGCCACAGTTTACGCCACACACCATTCAGGCAACTTTCTGTAACCTTTTGCCAATGTTGTCAATTGCATGAAGAATGTTGAAGCCACGCCAATATTCTTGGATCATAGTTTTCTTTTCTCTGCCTAGTCTTGAGCAGCTGGCCCATTGCACGGTGTAAATAATACGCCTTGAATGAGGCGATGATGTCTTGGTCCATAGGCTGCATCAGTGCTGTCGTGTTGGGAGGCAGGAATACAACTTTTTCACTGTCATGCAAGTCGTCGAAATTTGAAGGATGAACTGGAGCATTGTCAACGATCAGAAGAATTGGCACAGTATTCCTTCATTGCAGGGATTGCGTACACGTTTAACCACTGGCTAAATATGGCGCCAGTTATCCATGCCTTCTTATTTGCCTTATAGATCACAGGAAGGTGATCCTAAGAGTAACCTCTTAGGGCCCGTGGGTTGACAGCGCGAGAAATCAGCATAGGCTTCAGCTTGGTCACCAGCAACGTTCGCGCCAAGCAGCAGCGTCAAGCGGTCTTTTGCCATTTTAAACCCCTACACTCTTTTCTCCTCCTTGCAGATATAGGTCCTCTCAGGCATCCTCTTCCAAAAGAGACCAGTCTCATCCACATTGAAGGCTTGCTTCGATGAGTAGCCTCCTTCCTGGATAGTCTGCTTGAATTCAGGCGGGAATGTCTCGGCAGCAACCGTATCTGAACTAGTAGCTTCACCAGTCATCTTTATGTTGTGGAAGTTATAGTGATGTTTAAATTGTTGAAACCAGCCTCGGCTGGCTGTAAAGGTCTCTTCCTTCGATCCTTCACCCTCGGTTTCCTTAATGTCATCAAACATGGATCTGGCCTTATGCTGAATAACCGTAAGGCCAACAGGCTCATTGAGTTGATTCTGGTCCTCCATCTTTTCCACCTTTTCTGTTACAGTACTTCTAGTACGAATTGTTTTAGTTACACTGAGAGTAGTATCACTTCCAGCACTAAGCTTAATCTTGTCAGCGCTGGTCCGGATAGTACGCACCATTGTGGGGGTTAGACCAAGCACAGTGGCTATGTCCACAGCACATTCCCCTTTTTCAAATCAGGTTAATAAATCTATTTTTGTAGCAAGGGTAATGGTCTTATGTTGCCTCTTCACTACACTAACATCAGTAGCACTTGATAGGTGCTTGGAAGCCATCTTGAATGGTAGAGTACAGTTTTAGAGCAAAAGCACTTAAGCACACGCGAATGAAGTGAAGTCGTAACAAAGACTGGCTTGGCGTCGCTTGGGGACGCTGTGACGTTACGCGAGTGAGGGTAGCGCGCCGAGCCGAGAGAGGGTGATGCGCCGTAAAAAGTAGTGGGTGATGACGCAAAAGGACGTTTTACCGAATCGCCATTAAACAAATTTTTGGTCTCTAAAGTTTAATGACGTAGTACCGAAACGACATTAAGCGAGGACTTGCTGTACTTGGTACTGCTGGAAGAGTAAGTGGTGTATGAGTAGGATTGGAGAATTAACTGTGAACTTCAAAGTAGAGTTGGTGGAATGACGGGTGGATGGTCAACATGTACTATGTGGATTGAGGAGAGCTGGAGTGAGATGGTGGGATGAGGCCAGTAGTAATTTGTCTCTTATGTCACTGCAGATGGTGCATTGCTTTTTACTGAGTGAACAGGGGCTGCAAAGGATGATGAAAGACTGAGAGGGTGTGTAATAAAAGGAAGTAAAAAGGTATTAATAAAATGAGGAAGCTTAGAGATGAAGTAATTGAGAGACAGTTTGGTGTTCCTATTTGTTGTCGGGCAGTGAAATACGGGTTTGGAATGAAACTGTTCTAAAATTTAAATTACAGCACTGACCTGAGGGCTGCATCTAAGGTTAACAGAATGGATTGGGAAAGAAAAAAATTATCTGGGGTTATTGGAATGTCAGAGAAAGCAGTGTGAATAACAATCATAGATTGAGTAAAGAGTGGTGTTTATGTGAGATGAGTGCAAGAGGAGAGGCTGGTGCAGGAAGTGTATAGCAGCAGTGTAAAAGATGGAATACTATACAGTAATACGTTACGAACAAAATGGGGAGGGGATAATGGGAATAATAAAGATGTGATAGGGCAGCTTGGAAGCTCTGGTGTTTTTGCTATCTCCGAGGGGAACATAGGGGAAGAATTTACTGCATAATAGGTGATGTTTTTTCAGGATATTGGTTGTTTCACTTGTCATAATAAGATGTAAACATAAACATTAATTATCCAAATTAATATAGGTTTGTAAACGTTGTATATGACATGGACTTGGACTTAATTTTGCACCTGAACTCTAAACTGATTCATTACTTACTTCAATTCAATTTTCAGATTGTATAATCACATAGAACCTGCATCACGGTTGAAAGTTGGGTGTGACTACTCCATGTTCAAGCAGGGCGTCAAACCCATGTGGGAGGATGAACATAACTGTCGAGGGGGTCGCTGGCTCATCAATCTCAACAAGCAACAACGTGCCTCAGAACTAGATAACTTCTGGTTAGAAGTGGTTAGTATGAACCTAAAAGTTGTAAATGAGAATTGCACTATTTCTTATGTTTAGGAGAGCATATTTTAGTTAAGCAAGGCTGTATTGAATAATGGATCTTTAACTAGAAGGCCAGTGTCTTCACCCTAGACTGGTTATGGAAAGTTTAGACAAAAGGAAAGGAAGTTGAATGCTCTGTTCTTTAATGTGAAGAAGACATAGCTATAATGAAAAAACACTTTGGGAGGATAGTAAAGTGCATGTGACTACAACAGTAAATATGAATGGTAAAGTGAATGAAAATTACAGTTGATAGGGTACTAAAATTAACACAGTGCCTCAGACTTTTCCATTCATATGGATAGGTGTGAGGGAGATAAAAATGTAGATGTGAACGACATGAAAATAGTTACGGTTGGACAGAAATACAGTGCACTCATACCTGAATATTTGCATATTTATAATTTGCACCTTTGACGATACACTGGAGACAATAAAATAATAAACATTCATAATTTGAAGTGTCTTACGTACACTTAAAAATCACAGGCATCCACCACGAGTCGTAGGATAATGAACAAACTATTGCACATTTCTCTGCTAGTTTTTGACATCATCATCATCATACCTTAAGGTTGATTTTTAGCAATAAATGTATTTCTATTTCTATTTTATTGTCAATTTTGTGCATAATTTCTGTACATAAACATGTAAAGTTTTTGTTTACTGTACAGGGGGTTCCTGAGTTACAAACAGGTACTGTTCCTGAGGACGTTCTTAAGTCAGAACACATTCTTTGTGCATACCGTACTTACAGAACAATGTTTAAAATCCTACTATATCATAGCCTTTTTTTTCGGGGATTAGCCCACCTGGGCACAGGTCAATGATCCACAACGGAGCCTACGGGGGGAAAATTTGAAAAGAAAGAAATTAAAAATAGAAAAGGAAAAGGTTATATTAATCTACACCACGAAGATGCCGGAAAACCAGCGTTTTAAAGCGAGACATTGTATGAGTAAGGAAACACAGAAGAAGGCAGAGCATTCCACAGTTTGGCTGTGTGAGGAAAGAAGGATGTACTATAACGGGTTATTCTGGTGTGACCGACATCCACAGAGAAACAGTGGGCACCTCGGGCAACACTTGTGTTATGAGTCCACGGCTTTGCTGGCGGTGCACAGGATGCCAGATCCACTGAACATTGCCCGTAAAGGTACCTGTAAAAGAGAGAGAGTGAAACAACGTTGCGGAGAAGAGAAAGGGAAGAAGGATTGTCAACTAAAGGAGGAGAGTTAATAAGACGAAACGCCTTTGATTCCACCCTATCTAACAGTTGGACAGAAGAAGAGCCACCCCCAGATATTAGAGCAGTACTCCAAGATAGGATGAATGAATCCCTTATACAGTCTCTCCTCGACTTACGACGAGGTTCCGTCCCGATGACCAGGTCGTAAGTCGAAAAGGCGAAAATAATATAGAAATTCTAAAATGAAATACAGTACAGTAAAAGCAATCAATAATGAAAATTGAATAAAGTGTTACTGTGCACTAGGGTTGCTCATTTTTCCCAATTTTAGAAAATTGTGGGTGGGGTTTTTTTTTCCCATTATTTCGTTACTCCTAAATTCATTGGTGCCAGAATTAAGGAAATCCAACATGTTCTAGGGGTCGCGAATCCAAATATAAAAAATGAATTTTTGCGAAAAACGTCAAAACTCAAGCTTTTTCTCTTATAGATCAGCAATCGCGCCATTTTAAAGGGAATTACAAAAGGAATTTTTGCCGGTACACAGCGCGATCAACAACAACAATTGAGCGGGCTACGGCGTGGATCCTGTACACCACGAGGTGGCCCAGCCCAAGCTGACGTACGGGGCCACATTACGAAACGTCTCGGGACTCAAAAATACGTAATGTGAAAAATATTTTATACGACCATGGCGGTCGTATGTCCGGCTTGTCATAAGTCGAGGAGAGACTATACTTTTTTTTTACGGGGATTAGCCCACCCGGGCACAGGTCACCGACCTACATCGGGGCCTGGGGAGCAAAAGTGTAATAATAATAATAATGCATTGTACATAAAATTTATAATTCAAAATTGAAAATAAAATATTAATAACACAAATAATACTACTAATAAAGAGCCATTAAGAAATAAAAAAACAAAACAATCAAAAGTGAGAAACAATATACAGTATGTATAATGAGTTGTCAATAATACGAGAAAGAATTGAGACCCTGCAATTGTGTGTAAATGTTGCAGAAAGTCAGATCATCAACCTGGGACTTGATCACACTTTTTGTGATGCCATATGGCAGCTGGGTCTACCATTAGACTACAGTACATTATTCTTCCAATATCTTCCTAGGCGGTAGTACCTCCCTATTTGGTAGCTGCCTACTACTGCTCAGGAGTGAAGTAGCTATGGCATCTGTACAGCATAACCAAATTTTGAGAGGCAGCTTTAATAGCAATGTTGAGGATGTGTGGCTTCCATGACATATTAGAGGAAATGGTGAGGCCTAGCATATCTGTTTTAGAATTTGGCAGAGTGATCGCGTCCTGAAATGTGATTGGTTGGAGATCATCTAATTTAGAAAGTGTAATTGGTAAATACTGAGTTTTATTACTATTGAATTTAACCAAGTTTCTACCTCCCCATTCAGACATATGCACAGTCATTACATACAACCACAGTCACTTGAGGTGCCCCGCATCGTATGGGTTACTCGCGCCAAAATTTGAAAGCCGAGAAAACTGCGTTTAAAGTTTTTCTAACTTCAAACATGCTTTACTTTGTTGTTTTTTGAGATACAGCATTTATTTTTGATGCATTTTGAAGCTAAAAGACTGTACTTGCACATGTAAGGTAGCACATCATGAAGTAATGTTGTGGGTTGTTGCAGTGTTGACTTGAAACAACAAAACTCCCACCTGCTTATGGCTTTTTTTTTTTTTTTTAATAATCGATATCAGAGTGTAGATCCCGCCACAACAAAGCAGAACTGAGGGAGAGAGGGATTCTCCGCTCATTGGCTGGAGAGGCCGTGACATAGATAGCAGACGCTCACTGTCATTAGCCGAGACGTGGGAGGAGGCTGCAGGCTGGCCGCTGTCATTGGCCGTCTACTCATCTCACTCACTCACTCACGGGATGAGAGCACCTGATGACGCGAAAGTTAAGCCCATACTTTCCTGTCTGCCACAAATCGATGTTCTACCCTATATTCAAAGGGCTTTCAACCTTATTTACAGTGTAGTAAGGAGATCTTACCAACTACCATCATATAGAGCTAGGCCGAAAATACAGTATTACCCAGCTGGTTTCACTTTCCGCGAGATTTCTCATTTACGAGGTACCTTGCCAGAACCGGACTTTCACTTTCTGCGGCGAATCTACTCATATACGCGGTGAAGTATTTTTTATTTTTTTTTATTTAGCTCATAAAATTCATACAAATTACCCTGCCAGAATATAATTTACATTGCTGGAATTCTTACAATATGATGATCATTTTGAATATAAACATGATGGATTTTGCATTAGACATACAAATTTTAGATCTGTAATAATTTGGTTTACACAAAGCAAATATTTTATCGTTTGTGCAAAATATATGAAGTTTACATTCAAAATATTCCCTGGCCTGCAAGGAATCTAGAAATGTCAATTATATTATCCTAACTTTAGTCTGGGTTATTATTTATTACTAAAAATGTAAATATACTATTTTCTCCCAATCGCTTCTCTGGTAGGGAGGGAAGGTGGGGGGTAGGAAGGGAGGGAGGGCAGAGGTGGGGTATTTTGATTGACAGATAGTGTCCTTGAAGAATATTTCTTTGTTTATTTACTGAAGATATTTGTTTTAGCTCATAAAATTCATACAAATTACCCGGCCAGAATATAATTTACATTGCTGGAATTCTTACAATATGATGATCATTTTGAATATAAACATCATGGATTTTGCATTAGACATACAAATTTTAGATCTAATGTAATAATTTGGTTTACACAAAGCAAATATTTTATCTTTTGTGCAAAATATATGAAGTTTACATTCAAAATATTCCCTGACCTGCAAGGAATCCAGAAATGTCAATTATATTATCCTAACTTTAGTCTGAGGTATTATTTATTACTAAACGTTAAAATCTAGTGGTTTCACCCAAACATTTCTCAGAGAGGTAGGAGCTAGTGAGCTGGGAAGAGGGGGGGGGGGATTTGAGTCCATTATTTGAATGGACATTAACCTGGCGACTGTATTTCTCTTAAATATTAATTGTGTGAGCATACCATCATAAAATTTAGATGTTATTTTTACTACAACATAGGTATTGTGTCGGGAAAAGTGGAGTTTGGGGGTCGGGCCAGTCTCTATTGGAATTAATCCCATATGCTCTGTTGTTCACTTTACGCGGTTTTCACTTTCCGTGGTACCCTGTGGGTTCAATTGGCCGCGTGTAAATCGGGGTACTACTGTAGTGCTTTCCAACAAAAAACAGGTTTTGCCCGGGGTGGTCTGAGTGAACTTTACCATGCGGGGGGGGGCCTCACTTAATTTAAGACAAAAGAAATAGAATGACAAGTTACAGTAAATGAAAGTAAAAAAAAAGTAAGTCATCAGGTAAATAAAATACAGGTACTGTAACTTTAAAGTTAATCCCGTTTGTATTGGTGGGCGTTCGTGAGTCAGGGACTCCCTGTATTTATTTACTGTTTTATTGTACAGATGTGATATTTAGAGTGCTTTAAGTAAAAAAGAACACGGTGTTTAATTCGCTTTTTATTTGTTCTGTACAGTATTTTTACAGAAGGTGTATTGAATTATTAAAGGTTAAGTATTTTATGATAATGGTATTCCTAAATTTTTATATTCAAAACCATCTGACTAACCTGCTCTCTTGATTTGGAACTGATATTTCTGACTGGAATGATAAAAGTATAAAATTAGCTTTACCTATTAATGTAAGAAAGCCGAAGGTGATAAAGAAAAGACTGTGATTTTTAGTTTGCCTGTTTTCAAAGAAGGAAAGAGGTGTTACTGCCCAGGTGTCAGCATTATTGTCCCATTAGGTATTTGTGTTAGTTGACTTCAATTAATGTACACATCTACTCCCAGTTCTCTTGAGGGATAGAAAATGTGAAGAAATACAGTAGTCATAGCTGAGTTGTATTGAATAAGTAGAACAAGTTAACCAATCTGTGAAAGTGGATGAGATCTCTTGCAATAGGTTGTCAAGCTATAAAATGAAGAGTATAAATATGTGGGGTAAAAGTAAGTTGTTTAGGAAGAGATGCATTGTGTTTTAGTGGGAGAAGGAGTGGCCTCATGAGAATATAAGTGTAATAGGCTAGAGGAAAGTTGGCGTTTAGCAACTAGTAACTTTGTTAGGCTACTTCTTTCTGGTAAATCCCAAAATCACAAATGCTAATGTGGAAATAGATTGTACTTGATAATACTTTTGATTTATTTTGTTTTGTGGCTAGTTTCTGATAGGAAAAAAAATGTTAAATGGGAAGAAAGAGACTTCTTGGTCAATTTTACCCCTCACCCCAGATTTGGGCTTTAGGATATTGTCATGACCCATGCTGTCCATTTGTCTGTTAGCCTCTGCTTTTAATGTAGATATCCCACAAAGGATCTCACATAGCCCTTTCAAGCTCATACCAAGAATCAGCTTTTCAGATGTATGTACTTGAGTTCGTCAAGGTCATTTGATGCCTGAATTGGTGTTTAATATTGATAGCATTCTGTTGACCTTTATGATTTTATAGTATCAAAGACTGTAGTGAGAGGACATGGTTCCACTGAAGAAGAAAATGGAGAGCTGGTGTAAATTTTTGAATAATTCTCTTGACATAATGTGAATGCAGTATAATGCCTGCCTTTGAACATTTATATGATCCCATAAGTGATTAAGTATCAGACAACAAAAATTTTATTTGGGGTTAATTTATGTCTCCTTGTATTGTTATTTTAGTTTTGGAAGCTGCAGATTGATTCTTCTCCAGTAAAGTAATTGTACAGTATTTTACAAACAGTACAGTACCTGAACTAAACTAGTTTGCACTCTTTCTTTTTTCAGTTACTGTTAATGATAGGTGAAGCATTTGAGGACCACAGTGATGAAGTTTGTGGTGCAGTTGTAAATGTACGTAGTAAGGGAGACAAGATAGGTGTGTGGACTGCAGATGCCAAGAAGAATGATAGCATTCTTAAGATTGGGTAAGTTTAAATTATGTATGTACCTGGTATATATATTCCTTCAGTATTAATAGATACAAAACTTTGTTTTATTCCACACACAGTTTTATTGAATTAGGTTAGTCCAACAGTTTGTCTCATCAAAATTCTGCCGGGGCTTAGGCTTTGCTTGTGGTATCATAAACAATTAGTTGATGACTTCACTTTGCTTGGGATGCAAAAAAAATTTCCATAGGTAAGTGGAGACACCCTGCAAACATAAACGTCTGGCATTGGCAGAACCTTGATTGATTTTATTTTTTGTGTTACCCTTTGTATGCAGAATATTCCCCCATAATTTAGTCAACATTTTACATATGACCATGTTTTAGTATACACTATAAATCAGGCTGTGCAGATTATGAGTGCCTGGCAGCCGGGAATTGCCTAGATTAAGGGTTAAGCAAGTATTTTTTCAAATCCACGTGCCTCGCAGACATGTAAATATTTTGAGAGGAAGATACCCAGACAGAAATTTATCAGGTGTGTGACCCTACCTCCCTGTACATATTTAACCAAGGAGGTCCATCATCCAGTAAGGTGACGGTAGGGTGGCAATGTTTATGCTTTAAATCTAACGTCGAATCATGACATCACAGCTGAGCTGATCCCATCTGTTTCTATTGGTCTATTCTCACAATCACCTCACCTGAAAGTTTGTTTTAAAGCTCTCACTGATTGCTGTGTAAGCAGAGTTGTACTATAAGTTCAAGTGAAAATATCAATATAAAAAAAGAATCGAGGAAAATTTACAGGGTGAGGGTAAAGGACATTTAGATGGACACAAGTGATCTGGGAGTTGATACACACATTACATTTCAATGTTTTAAAATGTGTCTTTAACTTTTCCCATAAAAAGATAAGGCAAGCAAATTTCCTCAAATTTGTGAGGGCAAGTATCAAAAATATCTCTTCAAACCTAACATATTCGTATCTCGAGGGATACCTGTACTTCAAAACTGCTAGTGAAAAACACACCGAGCATTCTAGAATTCTTCATACGGTAATGGTAAATGCTAGTTTAAGGTTAACGCTCATTTACAAATATTGAACACACTGTGTGCATGTGTGTGTTTTGTTTTGTTTTTATGGTATTGTAGTTATTTTATTGTATTGGATGGATTGTAGCTCTATATTAAAAAATATGTTGCTATAAAATAAAAAATATGAAGAGAATGAGTGTGTATGTGTGGACTTGACATGTCGCCAAGTTAGACAGCCCCTGTACCTATATCCCCGTAGCACTCCCCCCTACCAGGCCAGTCTGCATTGTTATTTTTCAAATCGTATTTTCTTTTTTACTGTTAAATGCACACACAATCGTTTATGCAGAATGTGCAGTAGTTAGTGTTGGAACGTGAAAGGGGGCTGCTGCATCAGGCATCTCAGCCTCCCCCCACCTGGCATCTCAGCCTCCCCCCACCTGGCATCTCAGCCTCCCCCCACCAGGCATCTCAGCCTCCCCCCACCAAGCATCTCAGCCTCCCACCACCAGGCCAAGCTGTGAGCTTCATTATTATTATTATTCAACTCTTTATTTCGGTCAGATATACATAAATTTCTTCAATTTATTTTACTGGTACATGCACGCAATCATTTGTACAAAATGTGCAAAAAAAAAATTCATCATAAGGTCAAAAACATAAAAGGAATAATAATTTCTTGCATGCAAGGTAGTTAGCCCCAGGATTGTGAGAGGAGGGAGTAGTGTTGGATATCTCAGATACTCTTTTCTCCCATGTAGTGAAACTAATGCCAACTGGCAATGTGGTATTTTTCTTTTATTTCATTTATTCCTCACTTTTACTGGTATTACAGTATACACTCAATACTGGTCCCTAATAGTCTTGAATAATGAGGAGTGTACAGTATATTGAAAAATGTGGCAAAAGTCGTCGGCTGGGAGCGCATCCCCCTTATTTACATTGATTATTAAGGGAAAAATTGCCCCGACATTCGCAAATTCGTTATTTGGAAAGACTTTTAGGAATGCATCCGTTGTGGTAACCTGAAAATTTGTGTGTCAGCTCTTGCTGGTTCCTTGTTTTATTTTTTCCAGTTTCTGGAGAGAAGAGGTTTTAATACAATCAGTGTCATGGTTTTGCATTATAAGATGTCTGATTTTGTGGTAAGCCATGCTATCTTAAGTGTTTTTCTTGTGATTGATGCAACTAACAAGTCTTATTCAACATGTTAATTCCCTGGTCACTCAAGAGCTGTTTGAAGCTGCTGCTTTGTTTTGGTAGCTAAGGACTTCTTTATTTATTTAGGGAAGTTATATGAGGAATAGACTGGTTATCTCCTAATATACTGCTTATATACAATTTATAACTGCTTTGGGACCTCCTTTTATGATCAGTCAAGAACTTCTGCTCTCATTTTGTCTTATTCCCACTTCTCCAAGTAAACCTTTTATAATTTGATTAAATAATTGTTTGCAAGGAACAGTGACAGAAAAAAGAATAAAATCCATTTGCTATTGTCTTCAATAGTGTTTGCCTTACCACATTCCTTACTGTTGTATTTACATGGCTTAACATTAATTTTATTTCTCTAAAGCCTTTGGGTATAGTTATTTAACTGATCCCCAAATCCTCAAATCTGGAGATGTTCAGGGTACTTGGTTCTAACTACAGGGGCGAACAAAAACACCTGTAGAGTTCTGTAGGTTCTTATTAACGGAAATATACAAGAGTGCGCTTACAAGCGCAGGTAGTCCTTACATTCCTATAGGGTCAACTGACCTCACTCTGACCTCTCAGGCAACATGTGGTAAGTGTTATACTAGCAGCTTCCAGATGTCACCAGGCACATTTATCTAAGCATGTGGTGACATGAAACGGGCATTACCACACGCTACTGACTAGAGAAATAATGTGTATATATAGAGTACATACATGGTATACATACATAATATACATACACCTCCCCCCCCCCCATACGCTCATAGCAAAGTCTTGAGCGGACCTTTTCCTGTGGATCTGTTCTGAGCGTCGAGGGGCTTAATCACTGGGGTGGGGGATATGGGACTCGGCACTGGTGACGGGGTCAGTGGGAGGTGTTACGGGGCGGAGGAAACGGCGGTTCCTCCGCCACACACGTCCACTGGGTAACCGCACCTGGTAGTCCCGTGACCTGCCGAGACCCATGACTACGCCCACTTTGTCCCAACGTAGGGAGGTCGGGTCCTGGACACGGACTTGGGTGCCGACACTCACCCTGGGGAGAGGACAGGCATGGTCGTTGTGGCGGGCGACGACGTCTTGAATACGTTCGGCGGCTCGGCGATCAAAATCCTGTCTTGGCCTGCCACTCCTTGGAGAAGGGTTGAGGGTGAGCAGGGACACAAGAACGGAGGGGACTTCCATACAAGACCTGGGCAGGGGAGCGTCCGGTGTAATTGGGTGTGTTGCGGAGCTCAAGGAGACTCTGGTCGAAGGCCTCGCAGTCAATATTCCCAGAAGGGGCCACTTTGAGGATGAGGTGCTTCTGGGATTTGACAGCAGCCTCAGCATGGCCGTTGGACTGCGGGTAATGGGGCGATGACAACACATGCCGAACTCCCCATCGGTCGAGGAACGCGGCAAAGTCCCGGCTTGTGAACTGGGGCCCTCTGTTGGTTCGCAGGCGCGCAGGAACGCCCATGTAACGGAAGTAGTGGCGGAACTTGCTGATGGTGGCGGCAGACGTCGTGTCATTACCGCACTTGATGACAACCGGCCAACCAAAGAGACGGTCGACGATAACCAGGAAGGACTCTCCTGACACACAGTAAAAGTCGGCCGACACAGACTCAAAGGGGCGGGTGGGGTTGTCGTCACTCATGAAGGGTTCCTGCTGCTGGCTGGGTTGCAGTACTTGGCGGGGCTTACACGCCTGGACAGCACTGTTGGTGGCCTCGGCTCCGCGGTGACTGTCGTGGAGGCGAGCCAAGGCGTAGGGACGTGAAGCAGCAGAGACAACTACCGAAGGAGAGGTGTCACTGACCAGAGGTAGGGGTAGGGCGGCAGCAGGGTAGTTGCTGCTCCCTTCGTGCACCCTGTTGACATATTTTACCTCGAGAATCGGTGTTGGGAAGTCCTGGGAGATGATAGCCAACTCTTGGCAATGTCTGTAGGACAGCAAAGGAGTCGGGACACCATTATGCACATCAATCCAGGCTTGACATGACCTGTTGCCAAAGGTGATCTGTGCTTGGAGTGAACCTAGGGCTGGGGCCATCTGTGAACCATCTGCCGTGACGCGGAGGTCCTTGGGAGGCGGTCCTAGATCGCCTGGAGAGAGCCCCAAGCATTGCAAATGCGGGGGACCGATGACCGTAGCCTCAGCGCCGGTGTCGGGCAGCATCTCGAGACAGGATGACACACTGCCATAGGTTACGATGATGCTGACGTGCTGGGGAACATTGGTCCTGGGACGTGAGGAGTACACCCTCCTAATATGGGTCGGGCTTTGTCCAGGGTCGTCGTGCCTCTGATTTGGCGACTGTGGGCGGACCTCACTGGTGGAAGGGCGCTGCTGCTTTCGCCGACGCTGTCCCTGGGGTTTTTTGGTCGGGCAACACTTGTTGTAGTGGCCCAGACGGCCACACACATTGCACTGGACATGTTTGGCTGGGCACCGTACTGTAAGTGACCAGTGGCCCTTGCGGTCACAAATGTCGCAGGTAGACTCGGCAGCTGGACACACCTGTGTTCCGTGCTGCCTATCACAGCTGTTGCAAAGGGAGCCGGGCGTGGTGGGCGTAGGCGTTGGGGCAGACTTCTTGTCTTTCTTGTATTGGGACATAGCCCGTACGGCTGTCGGGGGAGCGCGGATGGCAGAGGTAGCACACCTGGCAGCCTCATAGGAGCGGCATACTGTCAATACATCCTTAAGTCGAGGGAGGTGAGGCGTTGGACAAGCTCCTCGTCCTTAACACCCATCAGGATCACCTGCTTCAACTGGGTCTCCTCGCACTGCTGGTGATTACCGGGACATAT